TGTGTGTGTGTGTGTGTGTGTGTGTGTGGTGTGCGTGTGTGTATGTATGTATGTATGTATGTATGTATGTATGTATGTATGTATATAGGTATACAGGAGTAGAAACATTAATGAAAATATGCTGTGCTGGTCTTCAGAATAATATTTTTAGAAATAGCAAAACTATAGCAAAGCTTTAGAATACTACTTGAGCTAATTTTTTTTTTTTTTTCAAAGAAATGTACATGACCTTTTTTAAAGAGCTAATTTTTAACAACAGACTTTGTTAAAAGCAAAACTAGCTATCGGCAATTTTGTGGTTCTCAAATGTTCACTTTTTAGCATTTTTGAAAAAACTGAGCAACAGCTGAAAATGGGAGTAGTGCCATATTTTTTAACTGTCTCCTATTACATACATGGAGAGATTAAAAAATGCAACGTTTTTTGAGAAAAAATTACCTATGTTTCGCGCAAAATTACAAGGAAACTACCCACATTTTTGAAAAATTGAATATGAACTTCGATATCAAGAACCAACAAAACTGGCCACAGCAGAGGAATTTTTTCTTCTTAATTTAGCAACAGGATTTATCAACTTTTTCGTTGCCAGGACACGTCAATAAGACAGCAATAACAGTTGCCAGGACACGCTGTTTATGGCGCACTATTACATAACTTTCTCTTCTTACGAAGTATTCATAAGGCAAGAATGTAAAAGCAAGATAGTCTATCCGAAGACTTTTCTTCAAGTTTATTGATGGCAAAGTTTCAAGTAACTGCAGCAGCACTCTCTACATTCTTTCTCCTGCCAACCGTTGCAACTATCCAATTCTAGGAATTATCAAAAAGTAAAAATCTAAATCTACAGCATAGCAAAAAAGATTTGTCAATACTTTCATTTCTAAATTTGAAGATTGTTGAGAAGATCTAGTCCTACAAATAACTTGAGATCAAAAATAAGAATATCAAGAACCTATGGTAGTTTGTGCATCATCATATCTTTGCATCATTTCTACAATTATTACATTCATACAAATTATTATTCGATTTAGAATTTTCTCGAAGAAATGAAATTCTCACACTTCCACAAATAATATTGTTGCATAATAATAAAAAGTAGGTTTCATATTCTACAAGTGTATTGTGTTTAAAGATGGCTGAATTTCATTCCATTCAATTGTTTCTCTCTATCCACAAAGATTCCATCTGCAGAGGAATCTTCAAGTTGTTCTTGCATGTCCTTTTATCTGTCAGATGCCTTACTTTGCCTAGATTCTGATTTATATTCACTTTGAAGTTTATTTTCTTCTATGATGATAAAATTCCTGGACAATTCTCACTGTATTATTTCCACTTAGAAAAGAAAATGCAATTTTCATAATCCTTTTCCTGAAAATAATTTTGGAAAATGGCTGCAATAAACAATAGCAACATATACTGCATGATTTCCTATGGCACTATATTATTTTCATTTAGACAAGAAAATGTCATTTTTATAAACTTTTTGCTGAAAATTCTATTGTGAAACAGCAACGACAAACAAAAGCAACACGCAATAAACAAGTCATTCATCAATGCATTGGAGGAAGAGTTACACTACGTTACAAGGGGGAAGGGGGGTATTAGTTTAGTAGTACACCACATTGATATTTATTTTTTTTGCATTTTTCCGTATTTTGCTAAAATAGTCTTGTTTTTGTCTTGTACTAAAACATTAAAATATTAACAAAATCATTTGTTTTAAAACAAATAAATTGAAGTTATTAGATGTAAATTATTATAATAAATGAAAATATTTATTCATGATTTTTTTAACGAAACTATGAATACAAAAAATTTTTTCTAAATGGATGTGGTATTTTCTAGAATCCATTGAAGTTGGTGCAGTCGACTGTCATTCGTGCATCATCCACAATGGTGTGTGCTAAATGTAATAAAAAAATTTCTCTCCTATGTGTCCTGCCTTCACTCACAACTTGTCCCAATCTTATTGTTAGGCACAGTCAGAATCGCCAACTAATTTCTACTATAATTATCATTAATTTTAATATACAACAAGTAAAATAAATATAATTTTTTTCTGTGCTATAATTTATTTTCACATCCTGCATTTACAGGGGTTTATCTTAAGCGTTATGTAATTATTTAGGGAGGGTTAAGTGCATCTATAGCATAGCGCATAGGGGTATTACAGGGGGAGAGGAGGTTTCAAAATAATTCAAATTTGCATTTCCTAATTTATGAATGCCCCTTAACAAAAAAAACACACCAAACATTATTTGATGTTCTTACCAACAAATTTATGAACATCTGTTGTTTGTCCATAATTTACAAGAAGTGTAGCTAGAATCAGTTCACTGATAACTCTCTCTGAAAAGCCACTGTTTCTGAAGCCATCTTCTGATGAGACATGCAGATATTTTACAAATTCTTTATTCATCGCAAACAACATTTCTTCCACAGATTCAAAAGATACTCCTTCATCCTGTAATGTGTATATTCTGCAAAATTCAGAATATCCTATTGTTACTATTTCACAAAGCACTTTTTTTTCAACCAAAGAAAGTTTTTTGCTGCACAACCCTGCAAATTACAATCGTAAGAGAATCTGCACAGATAAGTATAGAAGACAATCATATTATTGGAAAATCACCACTTGCATTTAGTAAGAAGGGATTTCAAAATATGTTTGAAATAATAGAAGAAAACAGTCGATTGTACAAAAGTATACATGCCAAACATTCATTCCTGTAAGTTATTTCTTATTAGGAACAGTTTTTACTAAATAAAATGGACACACCAAGAGATCTAATATATTTGTAAACATTTCAAAGTCAAGGGCTCTTCAAAGCTCATTAAAATGTAGAACTGTTAACAAATTTAAAGTAATACCAAAACTGTCTATTCCTAAGCTGAGTCTCTAATTTTGAGTGTTACAGGTAAGGGGAAAATTCTTATTAATTCAATGTTAACTAAATTAAACTTACTATCAAATATAAGGCACAATACTTGACTATCATTACCCACAAACAATATATCACAAGGTAGAAGAGAGTGAGGGTGCAAGAGCAACAGAAAATGCAAATGAGAGAGTGTAGATGAGAACACAGAAATGGAGAGAGTAAGCAAGAGAGTGCAGAGTGAGAGATAGAAAGTGGAAGGCAGTCTGGAAAAGTGCAAGAAAGAAAGTACAAGCAGGAAAAAGAGATAGACAAAGTCCTTGCAAGAGAGTGATAAACAGAAAGTGGGTGTTAAAGAGATTGAAACAGTGGGTGAAAGAGGGGGAGTGGGGAAAGAGCGAATGTTGACTCATGAGGAAGAGAATGTTCATGCAAGAGAGCAAGTATAAGAGTAATAAATATACGAGAAAGAGGTCAGCCATCCTAGACAAGAAATGGGGTCGAAAAGGGAGAGGAGATGAATTAACATTTTGTAACATCAAATCATACCTGCTGAAATGATCCAACATATCATCTATAAAACTTTTAAGTTTAAAAGTATCTATTCCATAGCGCCATAATAGTTTAACAGCATTCCACAACTGCCAACTTTCACTGCTCTCTGAGAAAACAAAATCTTCACCATCGTAAAGACCAAATGCTGAAGGTTCACCACCATTTCTTTTCTTCAAATCTAGGAAAAATTACAAGTATGTTAATAACTTAAATATAGAATAATAAATAAAATTCATGGAATTCTTGCCTGATTTTGAATCATATCTGATAGGTTTCCCTGAAACTATTTGGAATGTTGAAAAAAAGGAACAGATGTTATTTCTCCCCCATAAACATCATATACAGATTTTACTGTTTTTAACTACAATTAAATCAAATCAAACTGATTCCACTAACAAGGGCCTTGGACCAACAAATTAAGTGGCAATCTGCCCAAAGACTGAAATAAATATTATTTTTCTGAATTTGGGAATTTCTGAAGTCTGAGAGGAGTGTGCAGATTAGCACAACTTGTGTCGCCTGTAAATGCACAAAGTTTTGCCTTCAGAACAGATTACCAACTGCACAAATATATAGTACCACACATTTCAAAACTTCTTTCCCACTTCCTCAGTGATGATGCACAGTATTTGAGTCAAGGTAATTTCCTTCTGCTTCAGTTCTTTGATACCATGCTCTAAGGTTGGTAGGTCATATCAAGAGTTCACAATAGACTGCAGAAACCTCAAATATTTAATTATTTTACCTAAGAATTAAATACTAACCAAACAATAAGCAACTTTGAACATGAATGTATTTTGGTTAAATAAAATATTTTCAAGTATATCACTGACACAACATGTGTATTGCATAACAATAAAAAAACAACTGAAAAAATTATTGAGTGACCAACAGTAATTGTAAAAAATTTAGTAATTATTCAATGCAAGTGTACCAACAGTATAAAATTATTTTCAATCAAGATGATATTCAGAATAATATTCCGTAATACCACGCCACCATTCACAATCCTTTCCAAGTACAGTACACGTAAAGATGTTGACATTCTAAAAAAAATTTAATATTTAATAAAATCGGTCCTTCCTTTCAGGTCGTTTATTACATTTTTATATTATGATTTTAAATTAGACTAATGAAATACGATACTATATCCAACCAGATAAACTATGGTAAGCAACCCCACTGATACAGTAAAACATTGGCAGTTAGAAGAGGAAAACTAAGTCCTACTAAAAGCATTCTCAAAAGTCAATTATTTAGTCAAGGATACCAAAGTTCTCATGTTTAAGTGAATACAATTCATTTCATTCTTTGTCTACACTTTCTCTAAATGAACTTACCAAATAAAGCAACAAAGTCACTCATATATTTGTTTCTTGGATGAATAATAGCACCTCCTGCTTCATAATAATTTCCTTTCAAGACTTCAGTCGCCAACCTTCCACCAATTCTATTGTATTCAAAAACGTCTGTTGTTAGATTATTTTCTCCAAACAATTCTTGCAGGAAATATGCTGCGGATGAGCCCCCAATCCCTCCTCCGATGATACCTGAGAAAAATAATTGGAATCTTTTATTGCAACTTCTCAATTTTGAAATTATTGTACAACGGTACAATGTTCTCATACTCGCATTATTATATAAATCATATAATTAATACCAAGTAATAATTTGAATTTGGGATTAATATTAATAAATAAATTAATAAATAATTGATAAATGAAACAAGTCTTTGGTCTACATAATGTGCGCAAACATGCAATTTAAAAATGAAGCTTGATAGACAATTAATTATAAAGCCATAAACGCGCACAGTCGAAGCTTCATACCTATTTTCGGCACATTACTTCCAGCAGTACGACACAAATTCACAAATGAAAAAGAAAACATTAATATAGAAAAGTAACCCATCATACAAATGTCAACGAAGCAATGTGATTATATCTAGTATTTAACTGCATTCATATCAGTTCACCGGTTAACTTCATTTAAAATTTTGTCCAAAAAAAACGTACAAACTTAATCGCCTCTGGAGTGCCATAGACAGCAGTTTCCCTCTCTGACCTCTGAGAGCCTTCAACCAACCACCAGGATAGCACTAAGCAAATCGAACGCGCCTGTTTTGATTCGAAATTGATAGTAGTAGAGCAATTGGTTTATAACGTTAAGCTTTATTGTATGAGAACTTATTTTGAAAACGATTGATGTTAGGAGCGTGGTTTCGAATTTGCACGAATACAATAAGGGACATTATAAACGAGTTGCATATGTTATTTTATTATATGCATTATAAATTGCTTACGTATTATGCATTTATAAGAGAATCAAACTTAATTTGCGAGACAACTTTCTTGTGACGTCTCGAGTATTTGCACACACGATTTGAAATCTGTGCAAGAAAACGGTGGTCGGCTGTTCCGATTTTACCTTTACCACGATTGTCTCGCTGCGATTGGCCGTAAAATTAGTGATGGCATCCAATACTAATACACAATTTGTGTCGTAAAATGCCCTATTATGAACTTCTTGCAATATAATGTCGTTTATTATGCTAGTACTCAAAAACATGTGGTGCATGTATCCATGTTATGTGTGTATCCAATGTTATCTTTGACTCTTACAAGTACATAAGGACAAGCTCTCGTAGCTCTGTGGCGAAGCCGCTTGCCTTTCACCTCTGAGGTTCCGGGTTCGATTCACATAGAATCTCCGTCGAACCTTACGGGTAATTCGTTCCGACTAAACGAGTTCATGTGCTTTGAAGGAGCTAGTCCAATCGCAGTGAAGCGTTCAAAACCTTTCACCTTTCCTTGTTCCTTCCCAATTCTGACCAATGGGTCCTTATTCTGGCCGATGGTTAGACGACGCAAGCGCGAAGGCGCTATCTGTCGGCGATTCGCTGACTTTACTGTGACTGACGTGACTTGACAATACAGCGGCACCTAGAGGGCGCTTCTTAACGGAGGATTACTCCAGTGCGTTCAACGCTCCTTACGGAGTTTATATAAAATCGACATTAAGGCTGACGCTTCCATGTGCGTCCGGAAGCATGAGTTCGTCATAGGCGTACTTTTTGTATCATATTGTTGGATACATATCATGATGTATTCTTATGTTGAATACATATAGCATCGTACGTATCATATTGTTGAATATATTATTGTTGAGGTTCGTAGAGTACGTCCCGTAAAATACGAGATAATTCCGTTTTACCGAGTTCGATCCCGTTGTCCCGTAAAACATTGTCGGGATGCCTTGTAAAAGTTTGGATTGATTAGTATATGCTAATCACTTGATTGATAAGAGTGATTAATCAAACTTTTTCACTCATGTTTCGAAAATGGTGCAACGTATGGAAATAGTTGCCACAATCAAAATAAAAGCTGTGGTGAGAGATAATTTTCTTCCTTTTTTTCAATTCCCAATACATATCGCATTAATTGGTAGCGAAAATCTATATATTTTTAGTAACAAACACCATACTTTTTCATGATTTCGATGAACTTTGCCTTCTATCACTTCAAATCTACGTTTTACAGGATTATCCTATAAATATTATATAAGTTGAAGAGAACAAAAATTACTTTCAAATTAGTCATTATTAACTATACTATCTTTAAATGATCAGAAGTCCTAGAATTTAAAATTTTGGACAGATTCGGTTCGTTTTTACCGTGCCCTGATTTTTGGAATTTGACCGTTTTTTTCTTCTTCTTTTACTCCCCAACAAAAATACCTGTTACATTACAAGAACACGACTCGTGCTGACCAGCGTTATGATAAAAATACAAAGACAAAGAGATTATCATATTACGTGACGCGTGCCTTTTTTGACTTCATAACGCTTTCAGAAACAATGGTGTACCGTATTTTTGTTAAAAAAAAATACATGAAGCCTTGTTCTGGCAGTTATTAACAACTTCATCGCAACTTCCGTTAAGTTTTCATCAAAAAGATCTTCCAAGAGATAAATGCCGTAAGTTTTTTAAATCTAAAACGTCTCAAGTAGTAAGTTCTTCTATTTAGTGGGTGTTTAACGGTAAATCATCAATGATGACTTGAACATAATTTCGTTCGTCGCTTTCCTCCACGCTTTTTTCCACACAATCTCGAGAAGTGGGAGTCGATTCCGAATGGTAAAACATAAAACTCCAAAATAATTTTAAATTTAAATTGTAGAACAATATCACAGTTGGAGTATAGCAAAGCTATTTTACATCGTAGAGCATATAGGCATATTTAATAAGGGGTGCTCCAACAGCACACACATTCTAACATTATTTTAGATTTGCAATTTTTGAAAATTCCGACAGTTCAACGAAAATGAGACCTGCGCCATTCTTCTAAATGTTCCTTGTTATATCCCTGGAAAAAATATAAAGAAAAAAAACATTTATTTTTTTTATAAATTTCAATCACAATTTACGCCAGGACTACTTGCTGTTTCAAAAAATTGTACGATTTAATTTATTACATTTTAATTCAATTTATTACATTTTAATTCAATTTATTACATTTTAATTCAATTTAACCCTTTTTAATGAGCTGATTTTTTAGAACAGATTTTGTTTAAGACAAAAATCATTATCTTCAATTTTGTACACCATTGTAGAAATCACGACCATTGTTGATAATAAAATTGGTTCATGGGATTGGTCAGTATGGGTAATGAAACAATTAGTTGTGCCAATGTTTTGAAATATTTAATTTCTTCATCAGGGCTAGATAATAAAAAACAACAGAGCAGTGCTTGAGGACAACGAACATTTCAATAAATTGAATTAATTAACACTGTACAAACAACAACAAAACGTTTATAAACTAATACAAATCATCAAAATATAGAAGGTACATACCTTACTAATACTTATTAAGGTTAAGCCTCATTTCCAGCCACCACATATGGAGTTCAATTTTGTAGTTTTTATACGTTAAATTTTGTAATTTTCAAAAATATGGAGAGTTTGCTGAAAATGGAACAAGTACCAGTTTCTTGCTGTCTTTTGTAAGTTATGAGAAGAATATTTAAAGAAAAAATTTAAGGGGTTTTTGAGAAAAGAAATTATTTAAGAAAATAAAAATTGCCTATTTTTCACGCAAAATTACGCAATAACTCATATTTTCGAATCATTGTACGTGACTTGATTTGAAGCCCCAAAGACTTGAAATGTTTCTATATGTTGACGCGGTGAAGCCGAATCTAAAGCCAGATTTTCTCCACTACTAGCTTTTTCGCGATTTAAAAAAAATTGGAAAGTGGCGGCGCAATTCCGACTTCAGAATCGGCGCATCAACATACACAGAGAAACATATGTAGAATCTTTGGACCTTACAACTTTTTTTTAATATTTTGGGTGCCTGTGTAGTTATAATGCAAAAGTACTCAATGTCAGTGTGATGAAATACATCTTCATTTACAAACTGATTAATATGATCCTTTGAAATTTGGTAATTATATTCAATAATTGTATTAGTAAATCATAAAAAGTGTTCTGTAAACGTGAAGAATATAAAAACAAAAAATTGAAATGTAATAAACAAGAAAATTATAGAGGTTTTGAATATGTTTTAGAACGTGTCTTACATCCACCTACACCGTGCTGATAAACCTAATCAATATGGTATTTCAAAATATGGACTCTTATAGTCTAATACCCTGTAGTTGTAATGCTATCGAATTTTAAAACTAACATTTTAAATGTAGCTATTAATGTCTATCAAATTGAAAATAATTTCGTAGATTTATATACTTAAAACAAAAAGTATATAAAAAAGTTTAAAAAACAATTTAATTATAATGATGTATCAAGATCGTTGTGTAAGTATGAAAAAAGGAAGTGTTTTATTGAAACGATGAATTCATTATCGTCATCAATGACCAGGGCCGTCGCGCAATGGTTTGCCGCCCTGTTGCAAGTATATTTTGCTACTTTCAAAAAGGTATATTATAATTTCATAGTTTTAATAATAGAAAAGTTTAGTTGTTTAAAATAGTACTTATTGACGCGTTATTACAGATTTATTTATTAAACGATAAATAAGGTAAGGAAGTCCGCAGCCTTCCGAAGCCCCCCGGGCGTCCCGGGACAATGGGGCGACAGCAGGTGAAAAAGGTGCAATATATTCGAAAATTGCAAAAAGTTAAAATTAAAAAAAAACAAGTTCCAGTTCGGAACTTCCGCGTTTCGATAACGTAGAAGTAAGGCACCTGGCGAGTAAACTCAGAGGACATGATCTCGAGAGTTGGTACGGAAAAAAAATTTGAAAGGTTGAAAACACTTTGCACGTTTATGTAGTAGTATAATATATATGGTTCGGATTCATATGCACTAAAAATATCGAAAATAAGCATGCCAATATGCTGTAACACAGTAAAATATATTCTGAAAAAGCAAAATATGCATAGACAAACGTGCATGTTTAATTCTATACTAAATAGTTTGATTTACGTGTTGAATGATATCTACAAGTTTAATTTCTATTGCAAAAGATAATATATTTTTCCAAATTTTCTGCGGTGAATAATTTTTTGTTATCCGCAAGAATGTTTTTTATACACAGAAAAAGTTATTTCAACTTTGCATGAGTTTAAGGGTCAATACTTAAAATCTGCAATGTCTTTAGCTGTGTAGTTTTCAATACCATACGTTTCTCCATGTAAAATACCACTTATCTTTTTCGCCGTTCTCGAACCGGGGTTTCATTCTTCAATTTTCTTCATTCTTTCCTCATAACTGTGAGACTTGTTCTAGGCCTGGCCTGGCAAATTGTTCAATGACGTTCCTACAGAATGCAATAAGTTTATCGCAGTTGTTAGTTCTTGATCACGTTCTTCAAGCTTAGTAATGCTTTTAAGCAAGTGTATACGTACGTTCACGTGTGATTCCTTCAGCATTTGCAACCATTATTACGGAATTAATTCACACGCATCTGCATTCAATAAAGGAAGTACCTTCTTAATAGCTTTAATGTGTGACCAGTAATAAAGTGCCGCAATGAGCCATCTTGCCCATCTAAAACCGTAAGGACAAGCTCTGTCAAAAGGGAAATTTTTGGTTCTTATACCTGTGTTCTCGACGAAGATTTGACGAAAACGTTTTTGTTATTTACGTCTGTAAACAGGTGCTTAGATTCTTAGCAACCAACTATCTAAACGACGCTTTAAGAGCGCGTCCATAGCGAAGGCCGCTAAAATGATCGAGTCCTTTGAACATATTTTAGGGAACTCTCGGGTTTCGATTTTACCAGTGCTCATAAATCTTTGGATAAATATGTCCCTTTGTCCCATTTCGTTCCCCCACTTTTCCCGTTTCCCCGTCCTATTTCCCCACTTTTACTCTTTGCGTTTGCCCTCTAGGCTTCTTTTATCCCCTTGTTCTATTGTGTCCCGATGTTCACATTGTCCCATTTTATCCTCTTTGCACATTCTTCCTTATTGTCCCATTTTTCCCTTTTGTCCCATTATGTTCCCTTGTCCCGTTTGCCCTATTGTCTCCTTATCATCCTTTGCCCGTTTGTCCCCCTGCCCCATTCTGTCCCCTTGACCCAGTTTGTCTAATTATCCCCATTGTCTAATTTTTCTACCTTTACCCATTTTGTCTCTTTCTTCTCTTTTCCAATTTTGTCCATTTTGTGTTCATTGTCCCATTTTGCCCCCATGCCCTCGTCGTATCCTTTCCCCTCTTTGCCCCACCTGTCCCCTTTCGTCCTTTTGCGCACTGCGATTATTTAAAAACGGTACCAAGTCCCTGAGCCAACAACCCCTGCTACAAATCATCGAGAGTGATGACAGTTTTTAACTCATGAAAGTGTTAAATGTTTATTTTGCATAATTAGAATAACTAGAAATAACAAAAAATGTATGTTACACGTTCTCTATTGGTATTTAAGAACTCGGCCGGAAGATTAACTACCGTCCGTTATCACTCCGCTTCGCAGTTAATCTTCAGACCTCGTCCTTAAAGATCAGAGGCGTGATTCAGTGGGGGCAACTGTCCCCTCCCCCAATGTTGGAATTAAAAAAAATAAACGTTTCATTTCGCGGATCTTTAAGTTCATATTATAATTTTTTTTATATTTTGAGAAAAAATAACCCTTTTACAGTATTTGAGTATTTGTGAGCGCGCGTACGTGCGGATCCGTCTCTCACTGTTAGATCACTTCTCGTGCACCAAAACGTTTGAGGTGTCATCTGATGCGTCTCCGAGAACTGATAATATGTTTTCGGATTCAGCCAAAAGATTCTAAGAAATTTCCAAAAACGTGTTTTGCGTGTTTTAGTGCTGTCATCTTAGTGAGTATGCCGGGAATTAAACAAACGCCACCCAAATATATCTATGTACGTTACATTGAATGCGACAAGTGCACCGTCGCGCAGCAGATTTAATTTAATTTGCATCTGTATTAACGTATTTTTATAAATATATTTGAAAAATCCAACGAACTTGAAAAACTTAAGGTAAATACAGAGAAAACCAAACTGTGAGTAATGCTACAGAAGCAAATTTACATTCTTACGTTCGCCTTCTCACATTTATTTTGTAACCACACCCTTTGCGTGGCTGACACGACCAACTTGAATACCTGTATTTCGTCCGATCCAGCGTTGCTCCGGCTGCTAGGTTTGCAGACTCCCTAGAGGAAGCCATGTGTAATAGGGGTAACTCTAATGCTACAACTACTATTAAACACATTGTTTCATTGTAAAATGTAGTTTCATTGTTCTTTCTCACACGAGGTGAAGCCTCAGGCTAAAATTAATTCTTAGAGCTACCTTATATCTAATCTAATCTTATCTTATATGTCCGTACGGGCCAGAGTTCATCATCGGCTACCGGGCGGTCATGACCCTTCCCGCGGGAGCGGCGGCCACGCGCTCCAGCGTTTGGCGTGTTGCGGTCGGCGGCAGGCCGCGTCTCGTCTCACCTGTCCCGTCCTCTAGCAAAACGGTCGGTTACTTACAGTCGTGGCCTATTTCGTTCGTCCAGATTCAGCGTCCCTGCAGGCGGCCTGTGATGTGGCGATGCGGCTGTGCATCCGCTGGCGTCCTCCCGTGAGCCAAAGCAACCCGCCTCGGCAAAGCCCGCCTACTTCTAGTTGTGTTCCTGATCGGGATCGGAGTCAGAATCGGAATGGAAGAGCTAGCGTCTTTCAGCTACCTCGTCGGCTTCGCGGGTCACGTTGCCCTCCCCCTGCTTTTCGCGCGATTAGCGAGCGCGCATTGGACAGTTTCTTCCGCCCATTCGCGGCGTCGTTGGCGGACGCCCGAGTCTTGCAAAATTCTGTGAAACTCGAACTTTATCCAAGTTCTGAGAAAAGGGTGCAACGGCGCTCGAAGACAACGGCGTCCGTATTTCCTCATGAGTCACCGGATGCGGCCAGGGGTGTGTTGGGCCGAGACAATAGGGCTGGATGCCTCAGCGTCCCCGATGCGCCGAAAACGCTTGCAGGTAGAGGAAAACTGTGCGGTTCCTGGCATCTTAAGCAGCAACGTAATATTCAATATAATTTTATAAAACACGCGTCGCCACATGACGCGTGCGAACGTCCCATTACATTCACCCCCTCCACCTCTCCAAAACAAATAATGACGACGGGAGCAAAAGGAAGGTCGACGAACATCACAACAAACCGATAAAATGACTACAAACAAAAACGGTGCCACTAAAACTACACAAAAATATTACAATAACATCCATCAAAATTAACACTAACACAAGTCTAATCAATTATCCTATTAATTACGATAAGAATCGGGAAGATTCAAATCCCTACTACATGAAACAACTACTAAATAATTCACAATAAGAGAAAACAAATACAACACAACTCACATATTAGCGATAAAATCATAAAATAAAATGACAATTAATTAATTAAATAAGACGACATACAAAACAAACAGACGAGCGATAGAGTCGTAAAAAATGGCATACAAAAAATACAAAATTAGCCATAACATCAGGCAAACTTACTATAAGACACGCTGTATTTATACAGCGTCGGTGATACCACATTTCACTGTGGCAGTCCCTGAATAGTATTTGAGGAACTGCGAATATGCGTGAGTTCAGTTCCGTCACTCACGGTTAGACTATTTTCCATACACCAATCGAGACATAGAAAGCGTCATTCAACTCTCTTCGGTCTCTTTGTGGGGAACTGATAATTTGTTTTGGGAGGCGGCCAGAATATTCTACAAAATTTTCAAAAACGTGGTTTGTTGTGGCAAACTTATTAAATTTGAAAAAAATTCAAGTTAATACGGAGAAAAACAAACTTTAAGTAATACAATGTGATTGGGTTTTTGGAGTTTTAATCTATTTAAAAATTGGGGGACAAAAATATGGAAGTGGAAATAAAATCCGGCGAAGAATCAAATGTAGTTGTAGATTTTGGGATTTTTCGTGACAAATTGAAAATTACATTTTTAGAGAAAACGCTGAAGAACAGCTTACGAGCGATATTTTTATGTTCATTTTTGGTATATTAGCAAAAAATCGTAAAAAATAGGAACTGTACTAAATTCTAACTATCCGCACCATCCCTGCCATTCCCTAATCTGAAAGCACATTTTATTGTAATGCACCATATTGTTTAGAATTGCAAGGAATATATGTATATTATGATTAAGTAACTTATTTTCATCACAAACTTCGTGGGTCTGCAATGCGATAAAAATCATGTTTTACAGCATTACTTGTAATATATGAAAGCGTGGTCGGAATACGTTCGGCCGTTGTCCAGTGGCGGCTGGTGGGGGTGGGCTGCAGCCCTCCCAGTTCTTGTCAGAATTATTTAAGTTCTCATCGATATTAAAATAAAATATGCGAAATAGTATTTCAATCAATTACATGGCAAATATAACCCATTGCTGGTGCGTGTGTAACTTGCGGAAAGCTACCGTCGTGTTCTGCTGCGATTCCATTTCCCTCCCTGAGGCTGCCAGTCCCTGCGGCTTGCACGGAAGTATGGACGTAGTTGATTTCGCTTCCCCCGTTTATGTGTCTCAAAATTAGGACTCGACGGGCTGCAGGAAAGGCAGTCCCATACTCAGTTTTACGCGACATTTACGCGGTTTTTAAAGCTCTGGCGGACGTATGATGCAGTTAGGTGCTGTATATTGTATTTTTCTGTTGTTTTTTTTACTTTCTCACTACGGAGTAGAGAGGAAGTTATGTAATGCTGAGCGAAATAACAGCTAATTTTTGGCAGAAAAACAACAACTCATATTACAGGGCCCTGATAACGAAAATGTGGATAAATGTAGTTGATAAATTTAAAAATAAAAATCCGTATCACGTGAGGTATCCAGAATCCTTGTTTTCTGAGTCCTTGAAACCGAAATATACAATGACGGGAAAACGTATATGTGCGTCTGTGAACAACCTAGCGGCTAAACCGCTCAGCCGATTTTCTAAAAAATTGGTATTCCCCAATTGATCTGGCTGATGTTGCGGCCCCTTGAATTTGAAACCGATATTTTAGTTCTTGGTGGTACTTCGCATGAAGCGGGACATTCTCAAAATTTGCAAGTGGCTCCATCGTTTGTGATTAAATTTCATTATTAAATAGTGTGAAAGGCATTTAAGAGAATGGTGCTGGTCTTATATTAGTTGAAAAGCTTAAGTTTTCGAAAATTTGAAAAGTTAAATATTTTTCGGAGTCTTCCTAAAACTGAAATATTGATGATAGGGATTTTTTTCTTACTGAAATCTGTTCCTTAAAAATAGATTTTGTAAGGTCATTCACAATTTTTCGAAAGTTTGAGTATTTTTCGCGTGATTTTGCGTGAAATTACGTGCGAGAAAGTACATGCCGTTTAGCACCACTAGTTCATGTTTAGAATGGATACGAATAGTAATTCTGTCCAATATTTAAAAACACAGAAATTTAGAAGCTTAAC